TTGTTCTGACTGATGATACTGAGCTTGTCTATCATCTCTTTCCACACATGTAGTTGGTTTGACTTTTTTGCATGCCATCTGGCATGGTCCACATGTATAGTTCCTGTTCATACTGTTGAAAAAAGACATCTGCAATGAAGTCATTGATCATGCAAAATTCTATCAGCGATCTCTGGTGTCATTTCTATCACCAAGGCCATATTTTCCAACTACCAATGCATCTTCATTTTCGACTTTTTTCCATTTCAATCACCAGCAATCAACAATGCATCTTGCTTGCATGTTTGGCCAATTTCAGACTATAGAAGTTGGTGTGTTAAACTGGGTTCTCTAGAGAAACAAAACCAGTAAAGCTTATATAGAGAGAGAAAGAGAAATTTATCTTAGAAAATGGCTCACACACTTATAGACGCTGACAAGTTCAAAGTTCTTGTCAAGCTGGAGGCTTTTCCCGACTCATGCAGCTGCAGGGGCTGACGAGCTCAAGGTTGGCAGGCAGTAAACTGGCTGTTGACTCCAACGAATAACAAATCCAAGATCTCCAGGCCAAATGGTGGATTGTTCGCGCACAGACAGTTGGAGGCAGCACAACAGAATCCCGATCCACAAGAAGAGTGTCTCTTTTCCCAGGATGTCCATGAATATACTGGAAGCAAGTCACACTCCTAGGGAAACTCCCTTTCAACAGAGTGGCTGCTCAAAACGTATACATCTGATCCCATCATGGGAATAACATCACAACTGCTTAAACCACACAGAATTGTGGTCCAGCCAAGTTGACTGCTCCAACTATCACAGCTGGTAACACATTCAGTTTCTTCATCTGTGGCTTTAGTGGTTGGCGTGTAAATGTGAATAATGGTTTTATTAACTGGTCTTCCTTGTAAAGATATTGGTATTACCCTATAACTAACAGCACTGTATTTCCATGATAGGTCTTGAGATGTTCTTTTTGACAAAGAATGCAACACCATTCTTCTTCATCATTCCCATCAGAGCATGACTGTCCAATTCAAAATGTCCAATATTAGTCCATTTCAGCTCACTAATGCTTAATATATCAGTCTTTATGCATTCTAATTCATTTTTGACAACTTCTAGTTTTTCTATATTCACACTTCATACTTTCCACATTCCAATTAGTAATTGAAGTTTGCAGCTGTTTCTTCTCATTTTAAGTCATACCACACCAGCAAATGAAGGTCCAGAAAGTTTTACCCCATCCACATCATTACGGTCAACTCTACTTTGAGGAGGCGACTCATCCCCCACTGCATTTTGAGTGCCTTCCAACCTGAGGGGCTCATTTTCCAGCACTATATCAAGACAATGCTCCACTGCTATTCATAAGGCTTACAGTGGCCCATTTTTTTCAGAAGTGGACTGCCACATCCTTCTTCCTAGCCTTTCTTAGTTTGGAAGTGCCACCAAAACCTGTCTACCATGGGTGATCCTGCTGGTATTTGAAATACAGTGGGCACAGCTCCAGCATCACAGCAACACAAAAGCAACCACAGTATGACAAACTTCACAGACAAGTGATGGTACACTGGATACAAGAGAAGAAAGAATCAGTCACTTTGAAGACAGATCAAAAGAAATCATCCAAATTAATCACAGAAAGAAAAAGACAGACAAACAATGAAGAGGGCCTCAAGGACCTATGGGAGAAAATCAAGCAACCTAAGATACATGTAACTGAAGTTCCTAAAAGAGAGGAAAATCTGGGGCATAGAAACTATCTGAAGAAATACAGAAGAAATTTTTCCAAATTTAATCAAAAGCTACAACCTACAAATTGAGGAAATTCCATAAACTCTGATTAGGAGAATGAATGGGAAGAGATGATCTCCAGGGAAATCTAGTTTAATGTCTTTTTAAAAATACCCTTAAAATCGAATAATAAATAGGTTTAATAAGAATATAATAAAACAAATGGTTATCACACATTTAATATACCTGATATAATTCAGGTTTAAGAAGCCTAAAAATCTTTGTAAGACCCCAGAAGTCCCTACAAGTTTTATAAGATCATCGGAAAAAAAAGTACAGAAGCAATCTAGTTGTTGTTATTGTTGTTAGATGCCATCAAGAAAATTTCAGCTAACAGACACCTGCATGACAAAGTAGAACTGCCCCACAGGGTTTTCTGAGCTATAATCTGTATGGAAGCAGATCAGCAAGTCTTTCTTTGCACCAGAGCTGCTATGTGGATCAAACCACCAAACTTTTAGTTTTTAGTGAAGTGTGCTTAACTATGGCGCTACCAAGATTCTTTATCTAGTTTTAACTTGAACTTAACATTTTACTGAACAAAAAGTCATATCCCTGTATCATGCTGAACCTCAAAGCCACATTGAGTTGTATGGGTTTCCCCCTCCCCCCCGTAAGTGTTCTCTTCCCTCCCCTCCCCTGGTAACCAACAAAGAAAGTTTCCTTCCATATATATGAATTGTATGTTTTAACTTACCTTACCTGAGCAACTATTTGATACAAGAAGGCTTGAAAAGACTTTGTAAATATACATAACATAGTTGTACTCACAGCTAAGAATTATTACAGCAGTGTAGAAATCATACATAGATCATAAGGGGAAAAGACAAATGCAGAATATAGAGTGTGGTAGTTATGTCTGTCAACTTGGCTGGGCCTGGTTGAGTGGCTGGTAGTTATTCCCCATGATGAGACTGGCAATCAACTCCATGGTGGGATCTACCATAAGCAGCTGAATACCTCCTTTGGGTATGTGGTCTGCTTCCCATATATAAGCAGCAGCTCTGGGAATGGTCTCTAGCTTATGGCATGCTTGGACGTGTAGCCATGTCGTTGTTCAGCAGCCTGCCATGCTCTGCCAACCTTGGGACTTCCAATGGACTTAAATTAATGGCCTGCTGTGTGGTTTGGTAACATCGGGACTGTGCCTTTTTATCTGTGGGTTTGTCAGCCTCAGCAGCCACCAGCTGTCTGAGTGAAGAAATGCCTCTAGCTCCAGTGGGCCAGGAACAGGAGGCAGAGCTGGACCCCAAGGTTGAGGGGCTTTCACCTAGCCCCTAGAGCCTGGCACTTTGAACTAGGACTTAAAGCCTCCAAATTGTAAGAATAAACTCCTGTTTGTTATTTGTGGCATTTGTAGTATATATTCTTATCAGAGCAGCACTAGGTGACCAGAACACAGAGTATTCCATGTGCGGGCTCTGTTCCTCCCCAGTCACAGAAAGCATACTTTTCCTCCAGCAATGATACTGCAGCAACATGTGTGCAATATTTCTGCCCAGAAAAGTCCATCAGAGACTCAGCACCCAATGTTTTATTAGGGGTTGTGAGTAGGTGCCCTCTACCTAGCATGTACCAAAATTCCAGACTCCAAGAATGAATAAGGCTTCAGAATGAATCATATTGTTTATACACTAGAGGTACAGTAAGTTAACTTCATCATTTAGGGAATATGTGTATCACCACAGGGAATTAAAAACTAGCCAAGTTCCCAGATTCCAGTCTTGACAGTAGGCTTTTATAAGGATAGCAGTCTCAAGCTGGCTATGTTAACTCTTCTGCACAGCATAAAATAAAGGTTCCCCAGACCAGTGTCTTTACAAGTAAGCCACACCATTTAGCACCTGGTACCACACTTAACATTCAGATGTGCTCCAGAAATACATACTACACAAATTCTATTATTCTTTAAACATCAAAATGCAACCTCAATAACAATGAAAAAGTTCATTAGCCTTTTATTCATTCAGATACAATTCTATGCCATTTAGCCATAAATGACTATGATCTTGCTATATCCTTTTCCACACAGCTCTTGGGCAAATGTTTTTGTTGCTGGCTGCCATCAAGTTTGCCCCTAATTCATGGCAATATCATGCCAATTAAATGAGCTGCTGCCCAGTCCTATACCATCCCTATGATCAGTTAAGGACCAAGTCATTGTGATCAATAGGATTTTCATTGGCTCATTTTCAACAGATTGTCAGGTCTTTCTTCCTAGTCTTTTTTAGAATGGAAGCTCCACTAAAACATGGTCAGCATCATACCAACACGCAAGCCTCCACTGACAGATGGGTGGTAGGTAAGCATGAGTTACACTAGCTAGGAAATGAACCCAGATTTCCCACATGGAAGGCAAAAATTCTACCACTGAACTACCAGTGACCTTTTGGTCAAATATGGGGTACTTTTACTGGGGTAAGGAGCTCAGGTAGCACAGTAGTTAAAGTATTCAGCTACTAACCAAAAGGTCAGTGGTTCAAACCCACCAGACCGAATGAACTACCAGCAGGAGAAAGATGAGGCAATTCGCTCCCATAAAGATTTACAGCCTTGGAAACCCTATGGGGCAGTTCCACGCTGTCCTACATAGGGTTGCTATGAATCAGAAACAACCTGGTGACAGTGGGATGAGGGGGTGACAAAGAAAGAATAAATATCTGAAATTAGCCCCTAGAAGTACCACTAATTCCTTCACTAGAAAAACAGAGAAGAAAAACCTATAATGCAAAACTACCTTGCCTCTTATTATCATCTATCCATCACAGAAGATCACAGATTTAAGCTAGAGGACCCATACTGCCTAGGTATAAGATTTGTTCAATAAATCTTTTGATTTGATTGTTGAACAAATTCTTTAACTACTCAAAGACTTAAGATTCTTCATCTGAAAATAGGGATAACAAAGGTCCTATGTTTTACTGAGGGGCCATTAGCATTCAACGAGATGCTGCTCTGTGAGCAACTCTGGTGAGAAAGGGAGTAATGTTAAAACAAAAAGCTACAATAATGCTCTTAAGATTTTCAGGGATTCTTCTCAGCACTAACCATAAAGTGTTGGCCATAATAACTTCCGATAGCTGTCAAATTGCTATCAACCTACACCAAAAAATGCCAAACCACCACATATTTACTTCAATTCCTCATTTTTTGTTTGTCTGCAGTTGGGGAAGCATGATTTGTTTTAGATGAGAAGAAAAAGCAAAGAAGTGGACCAAGAAACCTACCTGGCGGTTCTACCTGCTCTATGAATATACGTGTTGGCATCCTCTGGACAATCAAACTGAAGAACCCAATTCACAGCTGGGAAATCTGTACAAAAAGAATGTCAAGTTAAGAAATCAGTTTCAAGATCTGCCCCGCTGCACTATTTTTACATTATAATCATGTTCACCAAGGCTTTCAATCACAACAAACTGATAGTTACCATCTGTGAACTCTATTAAAAATAAAACTAATTGAATATACTAACAGATAATAAACACTTCTGTCCTTTGGCAAAATTAATGGCAGTGTTTGAATGTGAAGACTACTTCATGTCTGACACAGAAGAGACAGATTGGTTTGCATCAAACAGAATTAAATACCCTGAAATTTAATAACTAAAAGAAACACTACTCATGGCCTCCTAGGAACTATAAAACTGGCTTCTAAATTTAAATGAAGATTTACTTTTCCTGCTACTCCCATCTCCATTCAAACTGATAATGTCTTTCTAAGTTATAAGTCCCCTTCCTTATTTCCTAGCAGTAACTGTTGTTGTTATGTGCCCAAGTCGGACCTAACTCATAGCGACCCCTCCTTGGGTTGCCAAAGCGGTGACACTACGGAAGTAGATTGCCCCATCTTCCTTCTGAGGAGTGGCTGGTGGGTTTGAACTGCCAGCCTTCTGGTCAGCAATCAAGTGCTTCAGGCACTACACTACCAGAGCTCCCTAGCAATAATTAGTCCATACATATTACTAGGGACTGAAGTTTCCATTCCTTTCCAGAGACTCCTGCTCTCATTTCCTTAAAAGAACTACCTACTTTTAATTTTTTACAGATATGCTGTAAGGACTTCAGATCAATTTCTATCCTAGAAAAAAGGGCTGAACACCCCCCGCAAAAAAAAAAGCATTGTAAAACAGTAATACCTATGGGCATCAAAAATCACTAAAGCCTTCAATTTTTAGGAAGGTGGCAAGAAAAACAGAACAGAGATACTAAGAACCCGTCTCTCTCTCTCTCTCTCTCTCTCTCAATCTCTCAATCTCTCAATCTCTCAATCTCTCTCTCAATCTCTCTCTCAAATTGAAGTAACCAGGTACCTCAGAGGCAGGGGCAAGTTTCAGAGTTGTAAAAACAAGATAAGCTAAAAGCAACAGTCAGACTTTCAGGTCCCCTCTCTTATCCTATACATTTAGCTACCCTGATGGAGACTGAAAGGCTTATTCCAAAGAAAGCATTCAGATGCTAAGACACCAGAACCAGGAAGAAAACAGATACAGAGTAAAAGTAAGGAGCTCTGGTGGTGCAGTAGTTAAAGAATTTGGCTGCTAATGAAAAGCTGGCGGTTCAAACCCACCAGACGCTCTGTGAAGAAAGATGAGTCAGTCCAAATCTTCTATAAAGATTTGTTGTTGTTGTTGTTGTTGTTATGTGCTGTCAACTTGGACCGACTCAAAGCAACCCCCCTCCTTGGTTTCCAAGGCAATATCCTATGGAAGTAGATTGCCCAACCTTCCTTCCGAGGAGTGGCTGGTGGGTTTGAACTGCCAGAGCTCCTCTATAAAGATTTATAGCCTTAGAAACCATATGGGACAGTTCTACTGGGGTTTTGTTTTGTTTGTTTTTTCCTGTTTCTTTTGTTTGTTTTTGAGTGAAAGTCTACAGACTGATTGGGAGGCCCCTGAATTGACTTCCTTGCTGTTGTGTTAGGGTCCATCAAGTTGATTCTGACTCATACGGACCCATGTGACAATGTAGGACTGCCCCACAGGATTATCATGGCTGCAATCCTTATGGGAGCTGATTACCAGGTCTTTCTCCCATTGAGCTGCTTGGTGAGTTCTAACCACCAACCTTTCTGTTAGCAGCTAAGCACTTAACCATGTGCCCCACTAGGGCTCCTCGACTTCCATGCAAGGCTTCCACAAAGCCAGCAGCAAGCTTAATCCCTCTGCTCATGAGATCAAAGTATTCTTCCTTGAAAAACAATGTTCAAAGAGAAAAGACTTGGACATTGAAGTCCCTCATAAAATGATCAACTCTGTCCAAACCAGCTTTCACTGAAAACCATCAGTCAGCAAGTCTCATTTACGTACAAATTAACTGAAATAAGCTTTTTGGCATCTTGTTTTTATACATAAAATGACATCCAATTAAAGACATTTTAGAAAAGCTTCAAACTTGAAAGATAGAGACAATAAAAAGAATAAAAATGGAACACAGCAGGAACAGAAACAATGTGGGGAGAAGATAAAACTTAGAAAATAAATGTAACATCTTCAGAGAGAAAAGAAACAATGCATTCAGCAGATGAGAACAAGAGCCTGTATAAAAGAACAAGGAGGCTCTCTTAGAACTTAAAAATAAGAACTTTACTAGGAAAGCTGAAACAAAATGTCAAAGAATTCCCCCAAGAAGAACTAGAGAAGGCCAAGAGGAAAAAACAACAATAGGAATGTTACAGGATTAATCAAAGAGCTGAAATACTTCTACAAAGAGAAAATAAGAAAAATAAATAGGAAGGGAGGAAGGAAAAGTTGGTAGGTTAGTCTTATAAAGAAATTTTATAAAAAGGCAAATAACTCAAAGTAAAATAAAAAAAAAGTTCAACAAAGGAAATAATGTTAGGCTACATCTTCCCTCAGCAGCAAACAATAATTACATAGTCAAAATAATGTAAATACTAAAGTTTATTTAACAAAATCTTGATAAAACTATACTGAAAAGATAGAAGTAGCAGAAGACAGGTAGTATTTAAAGGGGTGGTAGTGAGAGAAGTAAATCCTCAACTATCATAAAAAGAATTCATTAGGTAATTTCTAAACTTGATAAATTAAAAAATAGCAATATAAGAATATTACTTTGAAATATGAAGCAAAATACCAAAAGAAAAAGAAAAAAAAAAGATTCTTCAAAATTGCTGGATAAGTACAAGACAAGTATTGATTTGGGTGAAGGGGAAGGCAATATACCAAAAGCAAATGACCAACACAGTAACACTAAGGAAAAGGAAAACACACAGATGTATACAAGCGGTACAGAAAACAAAGATTAACACTTTTACATACACAATACTTACATACACAATACTGCATTATCTGTAATAACAAACATTAATCTATGGGTAGATACATAGGTAGACAGGCTGACTGCTTAGGTACATTTAGGCAAAAGAGAATATACTTATGACAACATATAAGTTTGGTAGACAGTATTTCTACACACGTATTTGTATGTGCTATAGGAATGTCCATGTCTATAATAGAGTTAACAGGGGGCAAAGTTATGGTAACTTCTCAGCCATAGCCAAACACCCTGAGCAAGCAAGTTCTTGGGCACAGGGGCTTGGGACCATGCTGGCGGGACATCAAGCTCAATCGGCATAACATAGAATGCAAAAGCACTGTTCCATAATCTACTTTGGCAAGTAGTGACTGAGGTCTTTAAAAGCTCGTAAGCAGCCATCTAAGATACAACACTTGGTCTCTCCTCATCCTGAGCAAAGAAGAATAAAAAAAACAAAGACACATGGAAATAATTAGTCCAAGACACTAGTGGATATAAGCCTTTGCCTACATAACCCTAAGACCAGAACTAGATGGTGCCTTGCTACCACTATGAACCACTTAGAAAGGGATCAGTGTATAAGACCCTGGATAGAATGGGAGAAAAATACGGAACAAAATTCAAAATCATAAAAAAAGACCAGGCTTACTGGTCTGACAAAGACTGGTGAAACTCCCAAGACTACGGCCTACAGTCACCCTTTGGGCCTAGAAGTGAACTTACTCCTATGACTTCCAGCCAAACAACAGACAGATGTACAAGGTGAACATTTATACCAGGTAGATACACACTCCTAAAAACAATCAACTATGGAGATCAGAAGGGCATTATTTGCAAAGGGAGCTAGCTCAGAGGGCAGGAACGCATAGGTAGGAATGAAAATTAAAAAATAAAGGATTGTTAGTAGATAGTTCTGGACAGCAAGAAGGGGCAGAGCAAGGCTGCTATGTTTCATTAAAACTGGGACTATGCATCTTAGCCCAGAATGTATTGTTCATTAAAAATAAACTCAACTATATATAAAATTAAAAAAAAAAAAAACTAGTATACGCAAAAGAAATTCCTGAACATATACACATGAAGAAAGTTTTAGAATATTCTTTGAACAATTTTTAGAACAGAAAATAAACTCAAAACTTAAATGTCCATTATAATGAGAATGGATAAATAACCAGATAAATAAATTCATTCTATGGGAAAGACTACACAAATAAATTGGATCTTTACATTTATGGGCTAAACATATACATCAGGTAGATATACGCTAGTTGGAGTGATCGATCATGGGAGAACAGAAGGGCAGTGTGCACAAAGGGAGACAGCTGGGTGGGGCGGGAGTGCATGGGAAGGAAGGCACAGGGAAAAGGTAACTACAGGGAGTAAGTTGGGAAGAGAGCTGTTACACTGTGGGGAACTGCAGTCAACGTTGAGACAAAATATGTACAAACTGCTATATGGAAAATGAATTTGTTCTGTAAATTTTCACCCAAATCACAATAAAAATTTACTTTAAAAAAAAAGTCATAGATTAATATGTATAATGTTATTGTTTACTTGAATGTTTAAAACATTCAAAGTAATACTATTTTGTCCATATAGATACATTCACGGGAAGTAAACTTATTTAATTATAACAGATATTCTTAACATTTTTTATGCCATAGGTAAACCCCATGATTCCATTCTCAGAATAATGTTTTTAAATGTATAAAATAAAATAAATTACAAAAGAAAAACATAATGAAATACACACATCAACCTTTTTAATGTCTAATATATCAATGTATAGGTGCTCTGGTAGCACAGTGGCTAAAGCACTTGACTGCTAACCAGAAGGCTGGTGGTTCAAACCCACCAGCCACTCCTTGGAAGGAAGGTTGGGCAATCCTACTCCGTAGTGATACTGCCTCGGAAACTCAAGGAGGGGTCGCTATGAGTCGGGGCCGACTCGACGGCACATAACAACAACAACAACAACAACAACATATTAATGTATATACTTGTTTGAGACATTAACTCACATGATCTACTTGTGTG